AATCAAAAAACAGCTTTTCTTGGTGGGAAATTTTATAGGACAATTAAGAGCATATTATTTTCTCATAATACAGTAGAATTTGTTACAATTTATGAGATTTACACCTAAGATGCATTTTAAAGAGACAAAGGTCTATTACTATTCTCATTATTATTATGCAGCCATGATAGGAAAGAAACCTTTTAGAATTCAGAAGAATTGGAAAGGTAGACACTTAAGTTTTCTAATTTCTTTAAAGTGACAAAAAAATAAGATGTCCTGTTCTTTTGGCAAAAGCTCATTCAAGGCTTGTTCAGAGTTTATCCAAAACACCTGGATGTGCTGATTTTCTTCTTGGAAACCAGCCAAGCCTCTGAAATGGGTCAGTGTGCTTTAGGCACTCAACTACCTCTTCCAGACATGGTCTTTTAAGCACAGGTGCTAAGTGGAGGGTCTGTCTGAGCCTTACTCTCTGACAGGAACTTGGCAATCCAGGCAGTTCTTAGAATTGGCTGCTCTGAGGGATTCATCGTGAGTTATTTACAAAGCTTCAGTTGTTCAGGTCAAACAACTCAAACTCTGAACACAGGGGCAGGAGTGGAAGGGACTGGAATGGTAGTTAAAGGTGACGTGACTGCATTGCTTCAGAAAGTAAGACAAAAAGTTTTTTCTCGGATTCCATGAATACTCATTAATAATTTCATATATCTCGAGTAGCTACAATCTAAATGATTTTTTGGACTCCCCCAGGAATAAACGTAGTGATGTTTAGGCTTATAATTAGCATTTCCTAAAATAACATATGCATATTTCTTTAGTTTAGTGTATTTGTTTTTATTTTTTGCTTTTCCTTCTACAGAGGCATAATGGGAGCTAGCTACCCTGTCATTTCTTCTTATAGTGTAGTCTGGCTTCCCTGGACTTTAGAAATGCATGTTTTTTACTTTTAACTTTTACCAATGCTGATATAATTGAGGAAGGAAATTTAAGACATCTAGTTCAGTGCTTTTAGATATTAAGGAGGAATCTCTGTAATCTATTTTGGTTTGATTTTTATAATTGAGTACTAAAGTTATTCTTACAACCAACCTCCAAATTAATAAGTTTACTACTACAAATCACATCACATAATTATGCAGTTAAACTATATGCAACAAATCAACCAACAAAAAAAATTGTGTTACTCTATTGTCTAGCCAACCTAACATATTGTATTATAGATAAGTATAAGCAAGCATTTCTAAAACCACTAGATGGCATTCATTCACTGTAATTTTGGCCAAACAGCCTTCCAAAGCTTTATCATGATATGCAGGGTTGGGGGAAGGCAAATGTTATCCATTATTTGATGATATTTTTCTATCATTTAGCACAATGACAAAGCTCAGTTTTATCTTTTCCTGGCTGCTTTAAATGAAATCAACAAATATTTATCAAAAGCTTTATTCAAGGATTCTTCCTGTTTGAGGAAAGTTGAAAATCATCTTCACTACGGTGGTAATGTATTTACTTACAATATCTAGCAGAAAATACATGCTATGTACAGTATATCACTTAATGTTCTTTTATTTCATTGTTTTACTAATTTATGTAGGTATTTCCTATGTAGCTACTTCTATAAAGGTTACAAAAAGGCATACTCCCTTAAAAACTTTTCTAATATTTTAGATGGCATTAGTCTTCAAAATTAATATTTGTGAGCTGTGGGCCAAGAGCTCTTGATGATACATAAAGGAGTCTTCTATGATCTTAAGAATGTGTGAGAAATAGTCTCCTAAGTACACTGAGGCCTAAGAACCAAAATGGCCTTTGATATTAATAAAAGCTTGCAATTTGGTTCTGGAGAAAAATCATGGAATGAAAATTCCCAAACCTCAAACTCCCAGCTAAAAGATTTGGAGAAGTTATTAACAGGAACAAGTCAATCAAAGCTCACCTTTTTCGTTGGAGGTCTAGGTGGAGGTCTAGGTTAATAATATAAAATCCAGCACTTACCTGTTCTAATATGTTTTGAAGTCTCTCTATTTCACAGTCTATCACAAATTTCTTCTCTTGTCTTCTATCAAGTTCTTCTAGAAGTTGCCTATAGCTGACATCATTAAAATTTTCCACACATATAGCGCTGACATGCCAACCATTTTGTCCTGCTTTTTCCATAATAGCTTGGAGTATCGAGTATCCTATTGGGGGAAAAAAGAGTTACTGAAAATATGCTTTTACTCCCCTTTAATGACTTATGCAGGCACTGAGTCTACATCAACCTTTTTATGTTCCACTGAATGCTTAGAAACTTAAAAATCTGAGTGGCTATTTCCGAATCATTTGTTCTTGCTTTCTTTACTCAGGGCTACAAAATCTCTTAAAATATTGATTCAATGAAGTAGCAATACCATACTTTGTGTAAGCTCTCAAAATCTCTTTATTTACTGGAGAATATTGTGTTGCTCTTCCTAGACACATTTTTGATGAAATAAACCAAAGACCAAATCCAATACCACCTGTAGTCAATAACAATTTCGTAAACACTTTTTGTTATTTTACTCACTAGAGAGAACTCATTTCGCACAACTGTTTTGACTCTCTCCTTGAGCAAGGTAGTAGCAACATTTTTGGTTCAACTACAGAAGGGAAGATGTAAATGAAACAGTACAATAGTACTTATTGTGAACCCATTATCGTCGGTGCCTCATGTGGTGAGGTGGACAGATGTATATTGAGGGGCATTATTTAACTCTTCCTCTCTTGGCATGGGAATGGTATAGATTGGGGGTGAGTTGAATGCTTACTAAGTGACACACTGGACTCTCGTAATTGGGTAGAGGAGAAAGACATCAAATAAACAAATGCAACTTAGTTTTACAAAGGGTAATAATGATAGCAGTACTCGAAGTGTTGGCCCAAAAGAAGAACTTGAAGAACTTGAATTGGGTCTTGCAGGTTGAGAAGGAGGCTGCAAGATTGCTGGAGGTGGGAGAGTTTATTAGGAGAAGACAGTCTGTTTATTAGGTGAGAGAATAGGAGGGATGGTTCCCAGCCTATCCTTGATCTAAGTCTCTCTGCATCTGGAAGGAAAGTCATCTGGTCCAGGCCTCTGGGTTAAGGAAGGAGCTATGTGGTAATCCCAGCACTTGGGGTATATCTTCATGCCAACGCTGTCTTGAAATCTTTCTACTTTTTCCACTTCTGAGTTTTGAATTGTAATGTGAGAGAAGAAAAGAAAAAAAAAGATTCTTTGAATCCCTAAGTAGCCCTCAAACAAGGATTGGTTAGAATCAGAGCCTGTTAGGCAGTTATTTTTTACTTTATGGTTTAGCATAATCAAAATATTCTAGTCTTCTTTAAGAAAGTCTAACAGTTATTTGAGCTCATTCTATAGCAGCTGCCTATAGTTTCTCCCTCCCTTGGTTCTGAAATTAGAGAGCTGGATGGATTAAAAGTGAAGATTTAAAATGAATGCACAGCACTTGCAAGATAAGAATATATTTATTTTGTTTTCTCATTGGTATATGAGTCTCACAGATTCAGGAATTTTGACATACCTTTTAAAAGGTATGTTTCTACATGTCAGATTTTCAAACATTGCTGATGCTCAGTTTATATCAACAGATGGAACTGATGATGAGATCATATTTGAAATATAAATTACCTGATATCCTGCCAAATGAAACACTGTGGCAGTCAGGATTCATTTTTATCTAAATGAAAAAAATTCCCCAAAGAGGAAGAAAGAGGGCATGTTAATTACTATATAATTATTCTGGTATACCTATTGCTCCATTTAGTCTTTCCTTTTGTAATGCACGCCAGTAATTATCTTTTCAAATCTTACCTAGATCCCCCCACCCTAAACCCAGGATTCTTTCTCTTGTTTCCTATTCAATGCATATATAACATGATGATATGAAACCTTTCTTAATATATGTGTTCATGCCTCATTTATTTTGTTACTGGGGCTTGCTCTCTGATGATAACTGAGGCAATATTCCTTTTATTCAATTTTTGACACCTATGAACATGTTCTTTGACTCAATATGAACGCTTTTAAAAATACCAAATGACATCTTACTTTTCCTTTTTCTCCTTTTATCATCATACCAAAATAATTCTAAGATATTTTTTATTTGATTGAGCATTGTAAAAATTATAACTATCAGCCACACACATTGAAGCAGTCTTCCTGCTCTCTGGGATTAATTCACAGCTTGGCACAGTTCTCTAAATATTGCTGCTTTTTTTTTTTTTTGGCATCATGTGGCTGTCAGGCCTCATGTCAGTACTAGGCATCCATGTTGTTATTCTCCTGCTGACATGACTTTTACAGAATGAAGAGCCACACACTTTCTGGTGAAATTTATATATGTTCCCACTTACATTACAAGATTGAAAGATTTATAACAATGAAACAAAATCATAATTCAAATCTAGCATTTCATTATCTGATTTTTTTGATTTACAAATGATAGTAGAATTGAAATAAGAACAGTAGGACACAATCTTTGTTGAATGGCAAAGAAAGTTGGTCATCTAAAAAGCCCCATTAATCATAGTCGGAAATAAATACCATCTTTTTAATGCGGTGCAAAGGACATGCAGTTATAGTTTCAGAGCCTGGCTGAAAACTTATATTCTGTTATAAGCTGTGTTTGATTTTAATATACTCTCTTATTATTCATTGCTACTTAGATATGTATGTTTTATTTATTTGCCAAGATAGCTGGGAATATATTGTAACTAGGAGAAAATATTGCTCTCGAATCTATGATTATGTAACCTAGTTGTTATATAAACTATTATAGAAAATCACAAGTCAAGTCATGGCATTTCTACATTTGGCTATGATTTGTATCTCCTAGTTATTAGAAAATCTGTAATACAATATTGTTCGCCAAAATGTAAATACTGCAGTTCTGGGTGAATATCACAGAAAATTTGCTATGGTAAAGAATATTTTAAATCTTGTTTCTACTCTAAAAAGCTGTATAATATTTTAATTCAGTATGATTTACTGAAAACCTACTATAGCCAAGATTCTATAAGGTATATCAAAATAAACAAAGATGTGATTCTTGTCTTTACAAGGAATTTACTATCTAGCAAAGCTATTAGGTAAATTATCCATTATGCAAAAAACACAGCATTGTATAAATAGCTTCAAAGAAATCAAAATAATTTTTTAGAATACTAGAGAGAGCATACTATGAATATATCACTTTATTGCATCACAATAAGTAATTAAAAGCTTTTTCATAGTTATTAAAGAACACTATCAATTATGCAAAAAACATTTGTTTGTAAATAACATAATGATATTATCAACTATTTTAAATAGAATCAGAGTAAACCAAGCAGTCCTGAGCTACTGCATCCTTACACATCAACATTTTTTACATCATCCGTGGATAATGACCTATTTTGGATGAATATCACCTAAGAGATGTCACTGCTGAAAATACAAGCTGGGCTTATTTATTTGATATTCTCTTTTGCAACAGTAATTTAACTGTCTATACACAGAGCAGCAGAAAGAGAAGCAGCAGAAGAAATTTATGCCAGGGAGAAGATAATTTTAAAAACAAAGAAGTTATCCATACGCCATAAAGAAGACTCTACTTGGATAAGGACTAAAAAATGTCCATTGTGCTTGAGAAGGTCGTTAGTGTACTCGTCATGAGCCGGGTCCATGGTCAATGGAATGCTGGATATAGAAGTCATACATTTCAGAGCAGTAAGAAATTGAGGAGAAAACGGGGAGAGATGAGAATGTAGACATTAGCAAGGAATATTATCAGGGTAACGAAGTAATGAGATGTAGGCTATGCTGTTTTGATGAACATGGGACAGAGAAACATCTAAGCTATGTGAACTGGTTTGGAAAGGAGAGGACTGGGTCTGTCCCATGGGGAATTGTTGAGCCAGAAAAGAGGAAGTGACAAGGAGAGATAGCAGCCACTTGTACTTACTCAAATTGAAGCCTTCCTCATTAATCTTACAAATTGCTATGCAGGTACCTGCTACTATACCACCGATTTCTCTGGTCTGGCACAATTGTCAGTGTCCCAAACTAGTATATTTGAGGACAAAGGTGTGTGTATCTGGAATTCTACCTCACGCTGTGTATTGACTTGAATCATAGAGAGAAATAAGATTCTGTAATCCTCACTACATTTAATGCCACCATGCTGACACTGTAGAGCAGATTTAGCAACCATTTAGTTCGGACTCTTTCCAAAACAGCTTAGTCCTGAAAACAAAATGTTCAAAGGCCACAGTCTGAACCCCAAGATCTGAGCACACAGAAAGGGTAACCAACATTTTCTCTTGTTAAAATTATCTGCAGCTGTGACTATAGCATTTATTTAAGCCATACGTCAAGAAGGGCATAGTGAAAATAAGCAAAGATTTTCCCACATACACAGCTTGAAACTATGCATGTAAACCTGAGATAAAATGGAATGTTTTGAGTTTTCCATTTTCTACAAATACTCAAGAGGAAAAGTAGAAAATCCATCTTCAAAGATGGATTGAAAAATGACCATTTTTCAATGTAGTCATTCTGGGCCCCAGATTTTCCCGAAGGCCTCTTATAATTTCTGACAATAATATTAAATATTTATGGTCTCCCCCAGTATTCATACTTTGTACAGACAACACCTTACAAGGGAATTTGATGCTTTAGGTCTTTATAGGTAAAGCACTGTAGCAGAGTCTACAAGTTGTTCGCTGCCGTCGGTTCTCCCCTTCATCCAAAACAATGGAATTTTAACCTGGACATATGGACAGTCAGAATAAATCATTTTCTTGCCTCTCTCTCACCTCTGTAAGTTGTGGCCAATAGATTATAATTGGAAAGGTTGTGTGGAAGCTTCGGGAAACTTTCCTCAAAGGACTCCATGAGCATACTTTTTTCTTGCCTACTTGACCTTTCGTCTTGATGCCAAAATGTGAATGCCACCCCTTGGTCATGAAGTTAAGGCTGTGAATGATGGAATGACCAGACAGAAGGAAGCTGGGTCTCTGGTTTAATGAAATGACATACTGCTCCCTGATCATCTACCCAGCCTTTTAAATGAGAGAAATAAATTTGTTATCTTGTTTTACCCATTAATATAGCTTAAATGGTTTTCTGACGCATATAGCAAGTATCCTCAACTATTTGCCACAAATTCAAGGTGTTAAGAAA